TCAAACCAACAGCCTAGAATAGCTTGGGAATGAGAAAGCATTTCTATATTGAGGCTAAGCAAACCCAATGGACATATCCATCGAGTCACACAGAGTTAAATCTAATTCAGAAGCTTTTTATGTCAATCCATTTCAAGAAAAGGTACACTAGAATGCAATTAGTATCAATGCATTTCACCAGCCTTACTCTGAAACATCGACATAATATTTAGTATCATATTCCAAACTCTAGTTAAAAATGGGATATATTTAAATGGAAATTAACTGTGTTTCACTGTAACCTTATACTTTAATTTCAAGAGCTCTTATTTATGTATTTGCTATATATATGTTGCTTTTCTTCTAAGAAGTAGATAACCATATAAATGGTTATATATGGGAACTGAATCATTATCATAGCATAAGAAATTTTGTACATAATGACTAGTCTTGTGAAAACAATAGACAGATTTATAAACACAGATTTGAATCTCAATCTCTTACAGACCTAATTGAATGCTTTAAATATTGCACTACTTTAGTTCACTAATAGGAGTAGAATAATGAGTACAATGAACATACATAAAATTGTATTGTTAAGTACAAAATTTAGTTCCAAGAAACAATAGATGGAAATGCATCTGACTTTGGAATTATCTCAAAGAACTTTAGGTCACTCATGTTTTTAAACAATTTTTCTTTCTAGTCCTAAAAAAATGAATTTATAACATTGTCATTCTAATGCACAATCCCATTATTAGGGCACAACTATTAATCTGTGTCATGCAATAAAACATAAAAGTTGTAAATCTAATAAAACAGTTTTATTTAAAGGTCAATGTTAAAAGGCTAAAATGACCACTACTATTACTAGTGCATATAAGCATGCAATGCAGATATTCACACTTATCTAGAAAACTACATTCAACTATTTAACTATTCTATCTAAGGACACAGAAGTTTTAAGCCCTCTTTTGTCACTACTACATATTGTGTCATGCTCTGGGAAAAAAAGAACTAAGCAGAATATTTTTTCTAATAATACAAATTTGAACACAAAGTTCCTACATTAAAAAAAGACCTTCCCCAAAGGAAAGTTATAATTTATAAGAAAATTATAATCAGTAAGTGTGAAGTGAATCTTGTTTGCCTTTTACCTTACCTCTATCACTGAAGTCATCCACAAGAATAATTTCTGCTATCAGGCTATTTGGTGTCCTGTTGATAATGCTGTGTATAGTCCTCAAAAGTGAAGTCCAACCTTCATTATGAAATGGGATTATTATACTAGTGTTTGGGAGTTTTTCCAAGTATACCTTGTCCTTACAGCTGAGGATGAAAAAAAAAGAGGTACCTTATAAGAATATAAAAAAGGAGAACGGCATTTTCTTATTTATTACTTTTCCCCCAATATGTGTATGTGTATACACACAGATATACAAACAGATAATGATTTTTGTAGTGGAAATCCTCTACTACATTATCAATATTTTGGTGAACTATTTCATTTCAGATAACATATAATATAAAATATAAATATGTAATATAAACAATAACTACCACTCAAACTTTTATTTCAGAATTCTCCAAGGCTGTTTTATACAGTATTGTAGACTTCACATAATAAGTTAATGAAGAAAAATACATTCTCAATTCTTTTGCAGATGCGAATTATTCTTCAGTTTTTTGAAAACTCTAATATTATTTTATTTGTATCCCGCCTTCATTATTTTACAAATAACTCAAGCACGCACACACACACACACACACACACACACACACACACGAACCAAGAAATCTGATAAGAAATTGTTGCCCCAACATCTTTGGGAGGCATGCAATGCAATCCTAAGATGTGTTAATAAAGGGATACAATCAAGATCAAGTGAGGTACTAATACCACTCTATAAAGCCATAGTAATACTGCATCCAGTTTTGGTCACCACACTATAAAAATATGTTGAGACTCTAGAAAAAAGTGCAGAGAAGAGCAACCAAGATGATTAGGCAACTGGAGGCTAAAACATATGATGAATGGTTGCAGGAACTGGGCATGGCTAGTTTAGTGAAGAGAAGGACCAGGAGAGACATGGTAGCAGTGTTCCAATATTTGAAGGGCTGCCACAGAGAGGAGGGGGTCAAGCTATTTTCTTAGACACCCAAAGGCCAGACAAGGAATAATAGATGGAAACTGATCAGGGAGAGATTCAACCTAGAAATAAGGAGAAATTTTCGGACAGTGAGAACAATCAACCAACAGAACAGCTTGTCTTCAGAAGTTGTGGAAGCTTTCAAGAAGCTACACCATTTCTGACTCCCATTTGTCAGAAATGGTGTAGGGTCTCCTGCTTGGATGGGGGGGTTGGACTAGATGACCTACAAGGTCACTTCCAACTCTGTTAATCTGGTAAGAAATATTCAGTAGAATAGGAATGAGGTTTCAGCACATCTATTTCTTGTAGGTATGAAATGGATAACCTGTATCACATAAAAGTGGTTTAACTGAAATGAGAATTATGTAAGTGGTTGTCAGACCATAATATACACCATTTTGTTTAGTAGGAGCTATCTGCTTTATTTACAATTTAATTTATTTTTATATGTGGAATACTATGGTTTTGTAAGGTTTCTCATTTGATTAAAATCAGTTAGTTCCCTACATCATTAGAAGAGGCTCTTTTGAAGATGTGCCTGTTGCCAGAAGCTTGGCTATCCTATTTGCAGGACGGGACTTTCTGTTTTTTACTTCATTGCAAACAGGAAGTAAAATGGTAATAATGTTCAGATTAGGACTAAGTTGAAATGGCTGATTAAAATCCAAAACACTATTTTTTGAATATTTTCAGGTTTTGGATAATGAATATCTTGCTTCACGACCTCCTTGCTTCTGCCCCAGCACAATCGGAAGACTTCGAAGTTATAATAACATGTTATAATGACTAATTTATTTATTCATCATCTCACAATCAAGTGATTCAGAGTGACATGCAACAGTTAAAAACAAAATGTACTAATTAATATTAATATTAAAAACTTTAACATTATAAAAGATAATAAAAAGACATTTTTATTTGGACCATTTGTAGTGAAACAATCTAGGGTGTCTTGTTTAAGCAGGAAATTAGACTACAAGATCTACAAGATCCTTTCCAACTCTGTTATTCTGTGAAGAGTAATATGGGGGATGGAAAGTAAAGAGAAAATGAATAAACTCTTTATTAAGTCCTTTAGTTTTCTTTCAAAAAACATACCATAATTCCTATTATCTTCCAATTAGCTTTCAGTTCAATGAATTGAAAACATCAATTCAACATTTCCTCAACCTAGGGATAAATTGCCATATAGTATCTGCTATTTTAATCATTTTCAGATAGCTACAATTAGGCAGGAAATTTAGGACTGTAAATCTTATATTTTTCCATTTGCATCTAATCTGTGGATAAGTAGAAATTCAATTTATAAAAGCAAGTAAATCAGAATTATTTAATCTCCTTTACCTATTTTCACTCATGTCTTCCTTCATATAAATGCTTCTAATTCTGCAATGTTCATTAAACTGAGCATGCAACCTCCATTGAATGGAAGGATGGGAGAACAGATATTTATCTCATAGGGAAAACTAAATTTGACATGTCTATCTCTGGAAAGTTTGTGTACAGAGGAGTATGGAAAAGGTTTTAAAGAAAGAATTAAGTTACCATTATATAAGCATTATCTTAGCCCAGGGGTCCCCAAACTTGGCAACTTAGCATAGCTGGCTGAGGAATTCTGGGAGATGAAGTCTTAAAGTTGCCAAGTTTGGAGACTTCTGTCTTAGCCCATACAAAAAGGAGCAGGTGAGAAATTACAGGGGTCTTCAACCCTAAACACTCAAAAAGGCATTTGGACCTATTTCCCATAGAAAAGAAAACACCAGGAGCCACAAAACCTGGGTGGGTGTGGCCTACTCCCTCCCACTCAGTCACATGACCTCCCCTTCAGAGCCACACCTACCCAGCCGGTTATCAGGGCAGAGAACCAGTTGTTAAAAAACACTGGGAACCACAAAACCCATTTGACATCTAAAATGATGTCAAATGATGTACTCCCTCTCACTCTCTCTGTATCTCTCTCCCCACTCTCTCTGTATCTAAAGTATAACAAAATAGCTAGCTATATTTGAGAATATAGTTTTCTCTATGCCACACTTTCTTATAATGCATGAGATTATTATAATGGAAGAAATTATCTTGTATTTAAAATACCAACTTAAAAGAAATTTTAATTATTAAAAGTATAGTTCCAGTTAAAAACATGTTTTTTCTTACCTGCTCTTTCATAATAATAAAATTTCAGCAGCCCTTTCTTAAAAAGTCTAAAGGACAACATTTCAACTGCATATAAAGAAAATCTTTATAAAATGTTTTATAGATGGCATTTTTCACCCACAAGGTTGCCAAAGATGTTTAAGGACATGTCCATTAAGTGTTGGAAATGTAATTAGACACACGGTTTGTATTACCATATGTGGTGGACATGCCCAAAGGCAAAAAAATATTGGACAAAAATATATACATGATTGGAAAAAAATGATAAAACAACATATAGGTTTAAAACAACTTGAGCTTTTTAAATGGTAAAATAGGGTTGGCACCATTTCAATAAGTTTATTAAAGTTTATTAAAAAGGTCAATTAAAGAAACTGAAGTTTGTTTGACTCCATTGTTATAGCAATAATATTTTATGCTTGTTACTAGTGGGAGACCAACTACCTCTACTATCATTTAAATCTGTTGTACATATCAACAGATTTAAAAATGCCTTTCTTGCTTTAAAAAGCATATATAGTAAAAAGGAAAAAAACACATAAAAGAGCCAAGTATATCTAGTAGTTAAAGCACCAGACTAGAAATCAGGAGTCTGTGATTTCTAGTCCTGCCTCAGGCATAAAAGGCAGTCACTCTTTCTCAGCCCGATTCACCTCACAAGATAAGGAAAAAATAGGAGGAGGGAGGTGTATTAAATAAATTCTTTGTCTTGGGTTATTTATAAAAATAATAAGAGTGGGATAAAAACTAACCTAAAACTAATAAATCACAAGGGAAATATGTTGTCTACAAAACCTTTAGGAAATAGAGAATAAATGACAAGTACAGGAATTCAGAAACAATTAAAGTAACTCCACGTCAATTTTCAAAGTCAAAACAAAGAGATAATGCAAGTTTCCATTTTCCATTCAATTTTTGACAGTTTTTATAACTATTGTTAGTAATGGGTATTTTAAAGACAGACACAGAGAGAAAGAGCTGACCTTTTCTTTATCAGAGAAACTAGAATGCTACCTGACATCAAGCCAGTGACCAGTATGCCACAGAAAAATACCAGCCTAAAACATTTTAAGCAAAGATTTACATAGTAATTGTCTCATTCTGTCAAAATATTCAATATACGGGAGTTAGCTACAGCCAAACAAGATTTCTTTTTCAATCTAGCTTTGTCAGCTGAACTTGATAAAGCAGTGATAACTAATAATTTGCACAACCATTTGACAGATCTGTACCATTAGTAAGGGTGGGACAAATGAACATAATTTCATCAATGATTGTAGTGCACTGCCTCAAAGCTTTTAGACCAGGGGTGTCAAGCTCATGTCATCACAATGACATCACATGACATATCAGAACTTTTCCCCCCTTCGCTACACTGGGCATGGATGTGGCCAGCATATGACCACAAACATTATATAATATTTCTGTATTAAACTGGAAATTAAAATGCTAATATAAAACTTAACTCACCTGTAAAGCCAGAGAACTGGTCAAAAACTGGTTCCTAAATCAGCTTTAAAGCTGAATAGTATAGTTTAGTTGGTTTGTGTCTGTACAAACAGGACTTGATGAAGACACCAAGGATCAGTTCTGAAATGAACTGTAGACTAAAATCTGTGCCTGTCCTGAAGAAGATTTGCTCCTCCTCTGCAGTGACTTGAATGGCTATATGGGAAGCAATCAAGATGGCTACCAATGCCATGGGAACAAAGGTTATGGAAATGAAGATGGATTTCAAATCCTAGATTTCACAGAAGCAAATGATCTCGTGATCTGCAACACATTTTTCAAGAACATCCAGACCATTTCATTACCTTCATTAGTGGCAGAAATAGCACTCAGATCAATTTTATTCTCTTTAAGAGACGTGACCTTCCCATGATATGCAACACCAAGGTTATACCCTCTGATTTTCTTGCCCCACAACACAACTTACTTGTCACAGATCTAAAAATAAAAGACCATGAGGGAATGAATAAGCAGCACAGGCCTCGAGAGGATCAAATGGTAGAAGTTGCAGGA